GTACATTCTACAAGATTGATGGACTGAACACATCGACTCCAGGCTGAGGGACTGATTACCTCATACTCCTCCTCTCCTTACCCCTTCCTCTTTGTATTGGGCTGATGAAGCCACTGTGTGGCGAAACGTTTCCTGAATAAAGATTCCCATATGCTGCATAAGTGTCTCAATCTTCAACTTTTCAGTATTGTTTATTCTGCATGTCTCATTGTTCTCTGTGTACAGAAATGTATATTTCATGTCAAAAAATTATTTTGTTTAATACTTTTGGGTGTCTGGAACAGATTAATTGGATTTCCATTATTTCTTATGGAGAAAATTAATTCGAATAACGAAAAAATCGGTTGATTTTTCTGGAACGGATTAATGCTGTTACCTGAGGGTCAACTGTACATGCATTTTGTCACTCTGGGATCCTTTAAATGTCATAGAACATTATGTGTGGGTGGGGTGGCCTGGTATGGTAGCCTGGCTGGCTACCATACCTACCATACTTGATTTCTTAAAATAAATACTACTCATCTCACCCTAGATTAAGACTACAAATATTTTAAGGTAAGTAATGAGTGTATTATATGTGTATTTTACCTTTTTATTATTTTTTTAATGCCTAGTTCTATTGCTAACTTAATATATGTTAGTGTAAACTTATCTAGTGTTTATATGCATTTATAAGTGGAAAAAAGGGCGTTTCACTTTACAGTGATAGCTTGGAACCTAACCTGCTGTATAAGTGGGGCCCTACTGTATACAAGCTAGAATGTTAGTCTCCTGTTCATTAGAGAGAGAGAGAGAGAGAGAGAGAGAGAGATAGAATAATAATGTACAGTGTAAGTTATTATTATTTGCTAGTAATTACTTATTGTGTGTCAGTTAACCCTTTCAGGGTCGGTGTCGTACTAGTACGGCTTGCATGCCATGGTTGGTACCATACTAGTATGCATAAATTCTAGCACCTTTAAATCTAGTGAGAGAAAGCTGGTAGGTGTACATATGAAAGAATGGGTCTGTGTGGTCAGGGTGGCCGCGGGGGCGTTGACCCCCGGAACTCTCTCCAGGTAAACTCCAGGTATTGAGACAAAAAACTCCAACTGCGTTTTTCGTTTAAAACAGCGACTTTGCAGTGTATTTTCATATGGTATTTATGGTTGTATTCTCATTTTCTTTGTGTCATTTTATAGAATGGAAGACATATTACAGAAATTGAGATGATTTTGATTGGTTTCACAATGAAAAGTACAGTATCTTGAAATTGAGCTCAAAGTAGCAGAAATATTCAATTTTGGCCAATGTTCAAAAGTAAGCAAATCATGCCATGCGTCCAATACACGTCAACTGGTGAGTTTATCTGGAGTTTATCTGGAGAGAGTTCCGGGGGTCAACGCCCCCGCGGCCCGGTCTGTGACCAGGCCTCCTTAGGTCAGTGTCCCAGGATGCGACCCACACCAGTCGACTAACACCCAGGTACCCATTTTACTGATGGGGAACATAGACAACAGGTGGAAAGAAACACGTCCAATGTTTCTACTCTGGCTGGGAATCGAACCCAGGCCCTCACCGTGTGAAGCGAGAGCGTTAACCACCAGGCCACCAGAGCCTGATATTCTTTCACAAGTGTGCTGATATTGTTCATACTATTTTTACACTAATGCAGTAGTCTGCATAACAGTAAATCTAGTTTTTATGAGAATAAAAATTCAAAGTGGAAAGCAAAAGAAATGTAAGAGGGGCCTGGAGATGTAACTGATGAACAGAGAAAATGTTATTTTAGTGCCTTGAATGTCTGTCTTGTTTATTCTGGATTCTATTTTGAAATTGGTATCTTTTGAAATTTGTGTGAAATTGGCAAAATTGCCAGTTTCTGACCACCTTATTGGATAGTTGAAATCAGTAAATGGGTGGTTTCTTGTACTCATTCGATAGAACAAATGGAGTTTTAGCGAAATAGCTATGACTTTTGTTAATTGGTACATTGGAATTGGCTGAAAATAGGGCTCAAAGTGGGTGAAATCGCCGTTGCATAAACATCGTCAAGACCGCTAACTTTGCGAGAGGATAATTCCATAAGTTTTCCATCAAATTTCATACTTTTGGTGTCATTATGATCGGGAAAAGATTATCATTTCATAAGAAAAAATAATTTGTACTTTTTTTTTTTTTTCCAAAAAGTTTTTAACCCTGAGAACGAGTTTAGGAGAGGGCCTCTCGACTCTCGACCCTGAAAGGGCTAAATTTTATCATAGATATTCACGAAATGAAAATTGAGTTGTATATAAGGGTTGCTACTATCTGTGGTTTCGGGCATCTGTGGTAGGTCTAGGAACATATCACCTGCTGATGCAGGGAAGTACGTACTAAAATGAGACACACTGTACAAAACTCAAGAGGATCACCAAATAGAATGAGAGGAACACGTAAAAGACTGACCTTTCTTTCAAAGAAAAGTCCAAGATGACAAATGCGATCATGGGGTGATAGTGCATATAATGAGGGCCATAGGCATTATGGAGAAGGTAGGCAGATGGATTTTTGGGTTCCTAACATACACAACACAGAAAGTAGTAGTAAAAGAGCAAAATCCAGCATCAGCGAGGTTCCCTGAGGCACTGTCCTGGCACGTCTGCTGTTTCTCATCCTGATAGCAGACATAGATAAAAACACCCATCACAGTTTTGTATCATCATTTGCAGATGACACTGAATTAAGCATGAAAGTAACTACAGTAGAGGACACTGAAAAATTGCAGGAAGATGTAAGCAGGGTTTTCTAGTGGTCAGTGGAGAACATGATGTTCACTGGTGATAAGTTCCAGCTGCTTAAGTATGGAAAAAATGAAGAACTCGAAAGGAACACTGTATACAAAACTCAAGAGGATCACCAAATAGACCAACAGGAATAATTATGTCAGCTGATCTTTCTTTTAAAGAACATAATAAGACAAAGTTCACAACAGCAAGGAGGATGACAGGGTGGGTATTGAGAACTTTCAAAACAAGAGAAACAATGCCATTGGTGACACCCTTCAAATTGTTAGTGCTCCCTCATTTGGAATATTGCTCAGTGCTGACAGCCTCTTTCAAAGCAGGAGAAATGTCAGAGCTGGAACAAATTCGGAGATCATTTACAGCACACATTGATCTAGTAAAGTACTTAAATTAGTAGGAATGTCTTAAAGTTTTGAACTTGTATTCGCTGGAGTGGAGAAGAGAGAGAGAGAGAGAGATATGTGATAATATATACCTGGAAAGTACTTGAGGGCCTGGTCCCATATTTGCACACTGCCATAACAACATACTGGAATGAGAGATATGGGAGGAAGTGCAAAATAATCCCATTGAGTAACAAGGGTGCGGTGGGCACAATAAGGGAACACTATATCAACATTTGTGGCCCCAGACTATTCAACATCTTACCAGAAGAAATCAGAAACATGGCTGGAACAATTGTAGAAGCCTTCAGGAGGAAACTGGACAAGTATCTTTACCATGTGCCAGATCAATCAGGCTGTGATGGATATGTGGGGGCAGCAGACCTTCAGCAGCCACAGCCTGGTTGACCAGGCAAGTGTAGCTGGTAGCATTCAGGCACAGATGCAGCCAGAATTCAGGCCCAATTTCACTTAATTTTCCTGGGAAATCTTTGTGGCGTCACCTGGGTCTGAACAGCATCCCACGCTGTTCTGTCACGTGTTCTGCGTCACCTGTATATTGCTGTTGTTGTTTCAGATCAGCATGGCTATTTCAGCAAGTCATTGGTGAGTTTTGTGGTGATTTTGCATCTAGTATGGTAGAATCTTCCACGTGTGTATGTGGGGTAGGGGGGAAGCGGCGGATTCTCACCATACGCCACCCACATGCAAGGCCACGACACTCCTATCATAATACTACTCTCCACCACCACTCAACACCACTCTCTCTCTCTCTCTGCTGTTTTCTATCTGAATTAAGTGTGAATTCTCACCAGAGCTATGTGTTCAAGTGCCCAAGGTCACTCAAAGGCATGTGGATCACAAAGCCATATGTGGATAAAGTCACATGGTTCACGAAGCCATGTGTGGAGCAACAAGCTGCATGATTTACTAGGCCGGTGGATAATCATGCCACTTGATGTCCAAGCCACTTGGTCTGCTGCCCAACGTCACCATTGCCTGATGTCACCTTGCAACGTCACCATGCTGCCTGATGTCATCATGCTGCCTGACGTCACTATGCTACCTGACATTGCCCCAAGATGTGTGCCCAACATCACTCCATGATGTCTACCCGACATCACCTTGCGGCATCGCTCAGGACATCACTTCATGATGTAACCCCCATGACATCACCCCATGGTGTCACATTGACAGTGTGAATTTGCCATTTTATAGTGAGCAATTTAAAGTGTTTTCAGTAATGCCTAGAATGATTGAGAGAGAAATATTTAGTACTGTATTGTCTTGTGTTATTCCTCTCAGTTAGTGTTTCATTGCTAGTATTTTCACATGTTTACGAATGCCTTAGTGTCAATTTTTGCACAGAAAAGCATCATTCGCTAGTGCAAGCTGTGTAGTAAACGCATGTACAGTGCAGATGTGCAAATTTTCCATGTATCCCGATGAATATTCTAAGCCCAGACCTCATTGTAACACCCTCGTGTTACATGTCACCCCATAGTGACCATTTGACGACTGACACTAGTCAGTTCAGGCTTCAGATACATGAGTCATCCAAACCCCCCCTTTATAGATAGTGCTTGTGCTTGCCATTCTCTTACATGTCACGTCAGAGTTGCCTGTTACGACTCCCCATAAGAGACTTGTATCACTCCACCTCCTGACCATCAGAGTACAGTTATGAGTAGACCCAATCTGGGGATGCTCAGACTAACCTATGTTATAACTCCAACTCTGTCTAGAGGATGACATCATCAAGCCTCAGTAGCCCCCTGATGGCAGGCAACTGTCTGACTCATGTCATGGTTTCAGTGAGCAGCCTGTACAAAGTATGATGTCACTTTAGCAGCTAGCTCTTCACTCCAGGTATGGTGTACGCTGCTATGACTCCCAGATGATACACCCGAGTTGTGCCGGCACCACCAGGCTCTGCTGCACTGAGTTCTCAGCAGTGATTGCCTAGCAACAGTACCAGTCGAGAAGTGTCCTGTGTTACGTGCCAGAAGAAGTCCTGTCCATTTGCCGAGTACTGCCGATGCCTCACTCAAGGGCACCAGCAGGTTGTGCCCCAGGTTGAGTGAACCCTGCAGTGACTACTCCACAATGACTGTTTCACCATTCCAGATGAGACCATACCCTGATATGTCATAGCTCAGGCACAGCAATGTCTCCTGATGTGTTACAGAATCTGTCCAGATGCAGGAAGGCATGCAGTGACACCCACCAAGGCTCAATGTTATGGACCAAGATGTTCTAGCACACCCCTCTTTCTTTTATCTTCCCTTCCAGTAGGAATTTTTTTTTTGTCCATGTCCACATGAATATATATGTTTATTTTGTGTTTTGTGCCCTGTTCCAACGAGAAAGAGACTTGAGTTTTTTTTTTCAGTTGGCACGGTCGAGGGCAATTATTAGGTAGCGTGATCTGAGTATGCCTATGCATTTCTAATTGACATACTTCCCACTAGAAGGAGTGCTGGCCATGGCCTAGTTTTTAAAGTTTCCACCAGAGGGCAGGCACTAGAGTTCTACCCTCGCTGCTTTCCCTATTCCTCACTTGGCTCCACCTCATCCTAGAGACAAGAAGTGTACTCCCCCTCACTATGCCGGGCCTGGCCTCAGGGTCACCTTAACAATGGGTAGGTGATTCAGTGTTTGGTAGGTGATGGTGTCTGGTAGGTGTGGCAGTGTCTGGTAGGTGTGGCAGTGTCTGGTAGGTGAGGCAGTGTCTGGTAGTTGAGGCAGTGTCTGGTAGTTGAGGCAGTGTCTGGTAGGTGATGCAGTGCCTGGTAGGTCAGGCATTGCCTAGTAGGTGAGGAAGGGTTTGGTATGTGTGGCTGTGTCTGGTACATGTGGCAGTGTCTCATACTTGAGGAAGGGTCTGTTGGGTGTGGCAGTGTCCATTAAATTGCACAGTGTGTGGTAGGTGAGCATTGTTATGTATGTGAGGCAGGGTGTGGTAGGTAAGACAGTGTCTGGTAGGTAAGGCAGTGTCTGGTAGGTGATGCAGTGTCTGGTAGGCATGGCATGGTCTGGCTGGTGTGGCAGGCTCTGCTAATTGAGGCAGTGTCTTGTAGGTAAGGGAGGGTCTGGTAGGTGAGGCAGTGTTTGGTAGGTGATGCAGTGTCTGGTAGGTGATGCAGTGTCTGGTAGGTGATGCAGTGTCTGGTAGGTGATGCAGTGTCTGGTAGGTGATGCAGTGTCTGGTAGGTGATGCAGTGTCTGGTAGGTGATGCAGTGTCTGGTAGGTGATGCAGTGTCTGGTAGGTGATGCAGTGTCTGGTAGGTGAGGCAGTGTCTGGTAGGTGATGCAGTGTCTGGTAGGTGAGGCAGTGTCTTGTAGGTAAGGGAGGGTCTGGTAGGTGAGGCAGTGTCTGGTAGGTGAGGCAGTGTCTGGTAGGTGAGGCAGTGTCTGGTAGGTGAGGCAGTGTCTGGTAGGTGAGGCAGTGTCTGGTAGGTGAGGCAGTGTCTGGTAGGTGAGGCAGTGTCTGGTAGGTGAGGCAGTGTCTGGTAGGTGAGGCAGTGTCTGGTAGGTGAGGCAGTGTCTGGTAGGTGAGGCAGTGTCTGGTAGGCAAGGCAGTGTCTGGTAGGCGTGGCAGTGTCTGGTAGGCGAGGCAGTGTCTGGTAGGTGAGGCAGTGTCTGGTAGGTGAGGCAGTGTCTGGTAGGTGAGGCAGTGTCTGGTAGATGAGGCAGTGTCTGGTAGGTGAGGCAGTGTCTGGTAGGCGAGGCAGTGTCTGGTAGGCGTGGCAGTGTCTGGTAGGTGAGGCAGTGTCTGGTAGGTGAGGCAGTGTCTGGTAGGTGAGGCAGTGTCTGGTAGGTGAGGCAGTGTCTGGTAGATGAGGCAGTGTCTGGTAGGTGAGGCAGTGTCTGGTAGGTGAGGCAGTGTCTGGTAGGTGAGGCAGTGTCTGGTAGGTGAGGCAGTGTCTGGTAGGTGAGGCAGTGTCTGGTAGATGAGGCAGTGTCTGGTAGGTGAGGCAGTGTCTGGTAGATGAGGCAGTGTCTGGTAGATGAGGCAGTGTCTGGTAGGTGAGGCAGTGTCTGGTAGGTGAGGCAGTGTCTGGTAGATGAGGCAGTGTCTGGTAGGTGAGGCAGTGTCTGGTAGGTGAGGCAGTGTCTGGTAGGTGAGGCAGTGTCTGGTAGGTGAGGCAGTGTCTGGTAGGTGAGGCAGTGTCTGGTAGGTGAGGCAGTGTCTGGTAGGTGAGGCAGTGTCTGGTAGGTGAGGCAGTGTCTGGTAGGTGAGGCAGTGTCTGGTAGGTGAGGCAGTGTCTGGTAGGTGAGGCAGTGTCTGGTAGGTGAGGCAGTGTCTGGTAGGCGAGGCAGTGTCTGGTAGGCGTGGCAGTGTCTGGTAGGCGAGGCAGTGTCTGGTAGGCGAGGCAGTGTCTGGTAGGTGAGGCAGTGTCTGGTAGGTGAGGCAGTGTCTGGTAGATGAGGCAGTGTCTGGTAGGTGAGGCAGTGTCTGGTAGGTGAGGCAGTGTCTGGTAGGTGAGGCAGTGTCTGGTAGATGAGGCAGTGTCTGGTAGATGAGGCAGTGTCTGGTAGATGAGGCAGTGTCTGGTAGGTGAGGCAGTGTCTGGTAGATGAGGCAGTGTCTGGTAGGTGAGGCAGTGTCTGGTAGGTGAGGCAGTGTCTGGTAGGTGAGGCAGTGTCTGGTAGATGAGGCAGTGTCTGGTAGGTGAGGCAGTGTCTGGTAGGTGAGGCAGTGTCTGGTAGGTGAGGCAGTGTCTGGTAGGTGAGGCAGTGTCTGGTAGGTGAGGCAGTGTCTGGTAGGTGATGCAGTGTCTGGTAGGTGAGGCAGTGTCTGGTAGGTGAGGCAGTGTCTGGTAGGTGATGCAGTGTCTGGTAGGTGAGGCAGTGTCTGGTAGATGAGGCAGTGTCTGGTAGATGAGGCAGTGTCTGGTAGATGAGGCAGTGTCTGGTAGGTGATGCAGTGTCTGGTAGGCATGGCATGGTCTGGCTGGTGTGGCAGGCTCTGCTAATTGAGGCAGTGTCTTGTAGGTAAGGGAGGGTCTGGTAGGTGAGGCAGTGTTTGGTAGGTGATGCAGTGTCTGGTAGGTGATGCAGTGTCTGGTAGATGAGGCAGTGTCTGGTAGATGAGGCAGTGTCTGGTAGGTGAGGCAGTGTCTGGTAGGTGATGCAGTGTCTGGTAGGTGATGCAGTGTCTGGTAGGTGAGGCAGTGTCTGGTAGGTGATGCAGTGTCTGGTAGGTGAGGCAGTGTTTGGTAGGTGATGCAGTGTCTGGTAGGTGATGCAGTGTCTGGTAGGTGAGGCAGTGTCTGGTAGGTGAGGCAGTGTCTGGTAGGTGAGGCAGTGTCTGGTAGGTGAGGCAGTGTCTGGTAGGTGAGGCAGTGTCTGGTAGGTGAGTGTTCACGGTATAAAACAGTTCCTGTCCTGCACTATGCACGATGGTATAAGCAAAACTCTTTGACTTTGTGTTTTGTTCCAAGTATTGACTTTAGTGTGTTTTCTAGGATGTTTAATTATTTTTTATTGGCAGTTTCTTGGTATTATTTGATAGAATAGAATATATGCTGTTGAAGTATTGATGCTTTTCGCTGGTTTTACGACCGGAAGTGGCTAGAAATTTTGCTCAACTTGGGAAAGATATTCTTTTCTTACATGTCTGTATAATAGATTTTTTAGGTCTTATTAGGATGCCTTAAACCATTTCCAATCATTCCTGGTTATGTTTTATTATATAGGAAATAGGGTAAACAGTAGATTTTTGTGTGTAAATTCAAAATGGTAGGGAGGTGTAATAATGGAGATGCCTGGGCATGTGGTTAATAAATAGGGAAAATAGTATAGTGTCTAACATTTCTACAGTGTTTATTTTCAACTCTGCTTTTAAATTGAAGTTTTTTAATTTTATGTAAAATTGGCAAAGTTGCCAAATTCTGTGCACTTTATTGAGTAGTTCTGATAGATGATTGAATGGTTTCTTGTGCCCAACTGATTCATCAGAAAGGTTACTAGTGACAATGCTAAGAATTTGATTGAATTGAGCAATTGATTGGCTTAAAGTAGGGCTCAAAATGGGCAAAATTACTGATCAATAAATTGCACACAGACTGTAATTTCATAAATTTTCCATCATATTTCTTACTATTGGTGTTATTACCTTCAGAGAAAGATTCTATACCATTTCATTTTTTTTTTAATGTGAACACAGAGCAGTTGTAATTTTACTTGTCCAGACAGTGTAAGGGTTAACATAACATAGTTTTAAAGGAATTACATATTTTTTTGTTAAAAATATTATTTGACCTGGGTCATATAGCACAGCGTTTTTTTTTTTTTTTTTTTTACTTTTGGGAAAAAAAAAAAACTGCCTCGTGTGATGGAAATGACAGTAATATTTATAGTTGGATATGACTTGCAAAAAATCCTTATACTTCTAAAAAAGTCTATATTTTTGCATCACAAGCTGGAGTGTGAGCAAAGTAACATTTATGAAGGGGTTCAGGGAAACTGTCCTGGAGGCGGGAAGTACCTCCAGGATTCAAGGAGGAGCGTTGTTATGTTGCAGTTTTTTAATTGTAGTGTAAGCACGCCTCTGGCAAGATGGAGTGAATGATAATGAAAGTGTTTCTTCTTTTTTGGGCCACCCTGCCTTGGTGGGGAACAGTCAGTATGTTTATAAAAAAAATAGTTAACTACAGCTCAACTGTGCTTTAAATTAGTTAATTTTATTCCTGTTAATCTGTCATTCTTTCTTTTTACAGCTGAGCCTTATACCTGAAGAATTCATTCATGTTGGCAGCCTCCAGTGTCATGAAGCTTATATGAATGCCAGAAATACACCACATACTGTATTGTGTATCAGCGGTGTGTTTCATGGTGTCAGAAATGCTGCATATATGTCAACATCTGAAGCTGACTTCAACATCCTGTTAATACTGATATGGTATGTTTTGGAAACAGTCATTTTGTAACTAAAAGATATCTTGGAACTCTTTAATGTTCCAGTTTGATCAGATATTTACAATATAAAGCTTAGTATCATGTCATTAATTAGAATGTATCAATACCTGAAAATAATGCATCATTATTCTTGGTAAAACGTTTATTTATTACATGTGCCATTTACACAGTAAATAAGTATTCTTGGTCATGTCATTTCTCAACTCATTGTCAGCTGTACTTTCAACATATATAGAGTGTATGTATACACATTGTCAGCCGTAAATATAACTTACACAACCTGTGTGTACTCAGTGTCAGCTCTAACTATAACTTACACAGCCTGTGTGTGTACAAAGTGTACAAATTACCTTGTGTTTATTGTTAAACCTTGTATATGCAAAAAAATTAATTGGAAGTAAAGCAATCAGAATAGTGTAAAATGTTAGGGGTTTTTGTTCACTTTGAGGATGAGAACGATAAAGAAATCATATAATTTGATCTGTCTCTTATAACAAATAATATAGTGTAAGAAGACTGCAGCATAGACAAATGTTTCCCATTTGAATTCTAAAAATTACTGGTATAAAACTATCTTTGTAATGCAAATTATTTACTAACAAATTTTTTATCAACCCATGTAGCATACTCCAAATACTTGTGAAAGTAAACATTACTAATAAACACTGAAATTTAAGTTTATACAGGAGGAAGCTTTATCAGTGCTCATTACCAAAATAAAAAGTGGCAGTCTTGCACACTCCAATCTATTGATTGCCTCAGCAAAATTTGCCATTGACTTTCCCAACAATTACTGCCTCAATGGCTCAGCCTCCAACAGTGATTATCCCAGCAACAACTGCCTTGATGGCTCCACCTCCAGCAACAACTGCCTTGATGGCTCCACCTCCAGCATCAACTGCCTTGATGGCTACACCACCAGCAACAACTGCTTTGATGGCTCCACCTCCAGCAGCAACTGCCTTGATGGCTACACCACCAGCAACAACTGCTTTGATGGCTCCACCTCCAGCAGCAACTGCCTTGATGGCTACACTGCCAGCAACAACTGCTTTGATGGCTCCACCTCCAGCAACAACTGCCTTGATGGCTACACCACCAGCAACAACTGCTTTGATGGCTCCACCTCCAGCAGTAACTGCCTTGATGGCTACACTGCCAGCAACAACTGCTTTGATGGCTCCATCTCCAGCAGTAACTGCCTTGATGGCTACACCACCAGCAACAACTGCTTTGATGGCTCCACTTCCAGCAACACCTGCCTCGATGGTGCCACCTCCAGCAATGATTGAATCAAGTGCCTCTTTGACCCAGTTTCCAGCCAAGATTCACACCAGTGTTGTTATGAAAAAATCTGCAGTAATGCAAATGAGAGATGATGAAGAAGAGAATACATATTGGTGTTCAAAATGTTTTAAAAAATTCTCAAACCAAGCTAACCTAGTGACACACATGAGAAATCACAAAATTAAAAAAACGTATCAGTGTTCGGAGTCCCTGAAAAAAAATTTGGTCAAATCTAATCTAATGAAACACAGAACACACAAAGCTAAGAAACCATATAAGTGTTCAGTTTGTAAAAAAAGATTAGCATGCAGAGCTACTCTAGTGACACATATGAGAATTCACACTGGAGAAAAACCATTTAAGTGCTCACTGTGTCTAAAAGAATTTGCATGCAGATCTTATCTAGTGATACACATGAGATCTCACACAGGAGAGAAACCATATAAGTGTTCAGTGTGCCTTAAAAGCTTTGCTTGCAGTTCTTCTGTAGCATCACACATGAAAATTCATACAGGAGAGAAACCCTTTAAATGTTCAGTGTGTCTAAAAGAATTTTCATGCAAATCTTCTCTAGTGCCACACATGAGGATTCACACAGGAGAGAAACCATATAAGTGTTCAGTGTGCCTTAAAAGCTTTACTTGCAGTTCTTCTTTATCATCACACATGAAAATTCACACTGGAGAGAAACTTTATAAATGTTCCTACTGTCTAAAAGCTTTTCTAAGAAGATCATGTGTAGAGAATCACATAAGGTCCCACACAGGGGAGATGCCCTTCCTGTGTTCAGTGTGTCATAAAAAATTTAGATACAAATCTTCTCTTGAGGCACACATGAAAGCTCACACACAGCTTAAACCATACCAGTGTTTGGTGTGTCTAAAAGACTTTTCAAGAAAATCTGTGTTGGTGACACGTATGCGAGCTCTAACTGAAACCAAACCATATCAGAACTCAGAGTGTCTGAAATGTTTTATGCAAAAAGCTAATCATGTTAGACATATACGGATTGATTCAGAAGTTAAACCAGATCAGTAATAAGAGACTTCAAGATCTTTAAACATAATCTGATCCCTTTCTCTTGTTCAAAGCTAAATGCCCCTAACTTCTCACAACAGCAGAAAAGTGCTTGTATCTTATTTTCATAACATTAGTTTTGGTTACAATATACCTTTCATTTGGTTTAGCTTTGATAGTCAACCAGTGCATACTAATGATGCTGACAATGATCACACATGCTGTGTAAGGTTTAGGAAATTTAAGCTGTAACTGGGCAGTAATTAGAACTGAGGAGTTAATGTCAGATTCATTCTCTGTGACATATGACATTATTTATGTAAAATTAAGTTTGTAGGAAGATTTTTGATTTTATCATATAAGTTTATGTTTGTTAAGATTATTTATTGTGCTTTAAACCTTAACCTGCCCAGATGTAGATTTACGTTTGATTTTACATGCTTTATGTGAAAAAACGTAGATCTACATTTGGAGCGCTACGCACGTCAATGTAGATCTACATTTGGACAGTTTAAGGGTTAAGAGGTGATTTATATTAGTGAGAAAGCTAATTTTTGTAAAAGAATTGATTTCTGTCAGACACTTGATTAATGTAACATTTCAAATTTCTCTGAGGCAAATGATTTGTGTATTGATTCATTATTGGTGGGAATCGGCCAGTGTCATAATAAAAAAAATATTTGTAAAACTTTGCAGTGCTTTATGTCCATTAGGGTTTAACACTTTTCAGATATAAAATAAAACCATATCACAGTTTCTAAGATTAATTGTAATCAACCTGTGCCAGTAACACATGAGAACTAACACATGAGAACTAACACGTGAGAACTAACACATGAGAACTAACACGTGAGAACTAACACATGAGAACTAACACATGAGAACTAACACATGAGAACTAACACATGAGAACTAACACACGAGAACTAACACATGAGAACTAACACATGAGAACTAACACATGAGAACTAACACACGAGAACTAACACATGAGAACTAACACACGAGAACTAACACAGAACTAACACATGAGAACTAACACGTGAGAACTAACACATGAGAACTAACACGTGAGAACTAACACATGAGAACTAACACATGAGAACTAACACATGAGAACTAACACGTGAGAACTAACACACGAGAACTAACACATGAGAACTAACACATGAGAACTAACACATGAGAACTAAGTTACTACTCAGAATTATTTTCATAAAGTCATTTTGACAAACACAAGAACTCAAGGAAGATAAGACATATCAGTTTTTTTTTTTCTCAAATGTGAAAAAAACTCTTTGGTAACTCAAAGCACATTAGAGAAACCCTTTAAATGTTCAGTGTGTCTAAAAGAATTTGCATGCAAATCTTCTCTAGTGCCACACATATTAAGTGCAAGCAACCCATGCTTATCATTCTAGTGAACAGCCTTTCAGTATAAACAATTGAAACATTAACAAAAATATTAACTATGTTTTCGACATGTGCAATTGTCACTCTCGCCCGACACCCTTGTTGGGCCCTGCTACACCTTAAATCTTTCCTCAGTGAGACAAAGATGCAGTCTTTGAATCTCCACACAAGTACAGCCAGTAATGTCTTTAACCCTTTGACTGTCGCAACCCCCAATCCTGAGGTGTCTCCTGGTGTCGCAAAATTTAAAAAAAAAAAAAATTTCTTATGAAATGATAGAGAATCTTTTCCCGATTGTAATGACACCAAAAAAACGAAATTTGATGGAAAACTGACGGAATTATGCTCTCGCAAAGTTAGCGACCACGGTGCTGTTTACAAATCGGCGATTTCACCCACTTTGAGCCCTATTTTCGGCTAATTCCATTGTTCCAGTTGCCCAAACTCATAGCTATTTCTTTAGAATTTCATTTTTTCTATCGATTGAGTACAAGAAACTGCCCATTTACCGACTTCAACTACCTAATAATGTGGTCAGAAATTTGCAATTTGGCCAATTTCACGAAATCTAAAAAAATATGACAATTTCAAAATAAGGTCCAGAATGAACAATGCAGACATTCCTGGCTCTAAAATAACATTTTCTTTGCTCATCAGTCATGTCTCCAGGCCCCTGTGATATTACTCTTGCTTTCTATTTTGAATTTTTATTCAAACAAAAAATAGAAGACTTACTATTATGCAGACTACTGCAATACTGTAATAATTGTATAAATAACATTAACCCATTCATGACTGCATATTAAAATGGCTAGTTGGACATTTATTGGACAATGGCATCATTTGTTTACTTTTGAACATTGGCAAAAATCAAACATTTTCCCTATTTTGAGCTCCATTTCTAGGTTCTTTTTATAGTAAAATCAATGAAAATCACCTCTATTTCTATAATATGTTTTCCATTCTATCAAATGAGACCAAGAAAACGAGAATACAACCATAAATACTATACGAAAATAGACCACAAAGTCGGCATTTTAATTAAAAAAAAGATCGGAGTTTTTTTCTCATTATGCACTGCGTGCTCCAGGATTTTTTTTATATGGTGCACACTGACCACACAGACCCATTCTCTCACATGTGGGCCTACCAGCTTTCTCCTGCTTGATTTGAAGCCGCTAGAATTTATGAGTATATATACGTCAAACACGGTACCTCGTAAGACGTATATATACGACCGTGACAGTCAAAGGGTTAATAGTAATGGATTTGCTCTCTACCTTCTGTCATTTATTGGTAGAGAGAGAACTTACCAGCGGCCTCTGTTGATAAACAAGATAAATATTACTGCTACTAGAGAAATTATTCCCTTCTAAATTAATAATCTCTACATTATTTTGTTTGTTATTTATAGCATTCAGCATTTTTTAAAAATACAGTAAGTGACCACGTTAGGTGTTTCCACACTCCACATTAGGTGCTACCATAATGTGCTATCACGTTATGTGCTACCATACACCATGTTAGGTACTACCACCCACCACATTAGGTACTACCACATTAGGTGCTACCACATTAGGTGTGTGATGTCACCATGGTTGTTTAATATATTTATAGATGGGGTTGTAAGAGAAGTAAATGCGAGGGTCTTGGCAAGAGGCGTGGAGTTAAAAGATAAAGAATCACACATAAAGTGGGAGTTGTCACAGTTGCTCTTTGCTGATGAGACTGTGCTCTTGGGAGATTCTGAAGAGAAGTTGTGGAGATTGGTGGATGAATTTGGTAGGGTGTGCTAAAGAAGAAAATTAAAAGTGAATACAGGAAAGAGTAAGGTTATGAGGATAACAAAAAGATTAGGTGATGAAAGACTGGATATCAGATTGGAGGGAGAGAGTATGGAGGAGGTGAATGTATTCAGATATTTGGGAGTGGACGTGTCAGCGGATGGGTCTATGAAAGATGAGGTGAATCATAGAATTGATGAGGGGAAAAGGGTGAGTGGTGCACTTAGGAGTCTGTGGAGACAAAGAACTTTGTCCTTGGAGGCAAAGAGGGGAATGTATGAGAGTATAGTTTTAGCAACGCTCTTATATGGGTGTGAAGCATGGGTGATGAATGTTGCAGCGAGGAGAAGGCTGGAGGCAGTGGAGATGTCATGTCTGAGGGCAATGTGTGGTGTGAATATAATGCAGAGAATTCGTAGTTTGGAAGTTAGGAGGAGGTGCGGGATTACCAAAACTGTTGTCCAGAGGGCTGAGGAAGGGTTGTTGAGGTGGTTCGGACATGTAGAGAGAATGGAGCGAAACAGAGTGACTTCAAGAGTGTATCAGTCTGTAGTGGAAGGAAGGCGGGGTAGGGGTCGGCCTAGGAAAGGTTGGAGGGAGGGGGTAAAGGAGGTTTTGTGTGCGAGGGGCTTGGACTTCCAGCAGGCATGCGTGAGCGTGTTTGATAGGAGTGAATGGAGACAAATGATTTTTAATACTTGACATGCTGTTGGAGTGTGAGCAAAGTAACATTTATGAAGGGGTTTAGGGAAACCGGCAGGCCGGACTTGAGTCGTGGAGATGGGAAGTACAGTGCCTGCACTCTGAAGGAGGGGTGTTAATGTTGCAGTTTAAAAACTGTAGTAGTGTAAAGCACCCTTCTGGCAAGACAGTGATGGAGTGAATGATGGTGAAAGATTTTCTTTTTCGGGCCACCCTGCCTTGGTGGGAATCGGCCAGTTTGTGGAGAAATTTTCTCCAGGAGGGGGGTATTAGCCCCCTTCAGCCCCCTTCAGCCCCTTGAGCCCCTTTCAGCCCTGAGGGGCCCAGCCTTCTCAGAAGGGGCAAGCGTGTTGTTTACTGCTACAGTGAGTAATTGATCACAGATGCCGTACGAGTATGCGACGTGGTCAAGTTGACCGCTGCTCCTTGCAGTGCAGTGTTGCAAAGCGTAGTTTAATAAGAGACAGTACATCTCTTACTTTAGCAGGACAATTAAGGAAAATCCTGCTCCCACTTTATTACCATAGTAAAGACAGTGGACATTGTTGTCTATGCTTAAGACAGCAAGAATCAAACATTCTGCTTTGCTTCATCGAGGAAGTGGCAAGGAAGCAAAAAGTACTAGGTCAGCTTTTTTTTTGTGCTGGGGGCAGTGACGGCAGTGACTCTACTGAGAGTGACACTGACGCCAGGATAACCAACAAAGAACACTGATCTGTGCGTTAGTGTGAACAAAGTATCTCATAAAACACAATAAACACTTAAGAGAAGTGTGATCAGCTTCTTCAATGATAACATTGTGAACAATAAAGACAAATCTTGTGGAACATAGTGTACCAGTGTGCGTTTCCTAGACAATGGAAGACGTGGACATCCAAGGACACTTCAGCTTCTATCAAGTCACCGATACCTGTCAAAGGTGTGAAGAACACCATAGCTCACGTTACAAGAGCAAGGTATGTTATGAATTTCTTGTGGTACGGGGGACTGCGCAGTTCTTGAGTCGCAAGGAGTTTGTAATCAGCCTATAGTCGGTAGTAAGGTGTGGACTTTTGAGTCCAAACAAGTATGTATTTTGTCAGCCATCAGTGAATGAAATATGCTGATATAACACCCCCTAGGGGTAATTTATAATCTTACAAATTATAATTCTTGACAGCCCGTTGTGAGATGGTTTCGACAGCTTCTAGACCTCGTCTGCAGGGGCGGCTGTGCAGGCGATGAGTTGCCTTTAAAGTTAAGTTTTCACTGTTTAAACTTAGCTGGTAATGCCATTTCTCAACAAGTGTGATAATAAAAAAAAATAACATTAGGTGTTATCACGTTAGGTGCTACCATACACCACATTAGGTGCCATCACACCACAAGCTATCTCATACCACATTAGGTGCCATCACACCACAAGTGATCTCACACCACATTAGGTGCTATCACACCACATTAGATACTACCACACATCATGTTAGTTTTACAGTTGAAAATCCTTTATCCGAAATGCTTGGGACTGGATTTCTGATTACAGTGGACCCCCGGTTAACGATATTTTTTCATTCCAGAAGTATGTTCAGGTGCCAGTACTGACCGAATTTGTTCCCATAAGGAATATTGTGAAGTAGATTAGTCCATTTCAGACCCCCAAACATACACGTACAAACGCACTTACATAAATACACTTACATAATTGGTCGCATTGGGAGGTTATCGTTAAGCGGGGGTCCACTGTATTTGTATATATTTGCATCTATAATATGTACTGTATATTTGCATCTATAAATACTGTACAGGTACTGTACAAACAAAAACATTCTCACTACTTACAAAAAAAAAAGGGAAATGCAGGCCCAGACACTACAAGTACACTAGCCAGGTCTAAGAAACTTTTGAGGGAGAGGTTACATCAGTGATAAGATCACTTTGAGGAGGAACATTGGAAGCAGTTGAGGGACCTGAAAGTGGATGTTCTAGGGATGAGGAAGCATTGTGTTGGATGCCTTTTTTTAATGTTTCATTGTCATCTGTCTCAATAACAGTGGTTTTTGTGGTAGCAGTCTCTCTCTGATATTATACACTGACATGATTTCTTGTTCTGTTATGAATGCACCATGTTATCTGTTGGCACCTATTTCACTGTGTTAACAGTGTCATCTTTATCATCAGGATCACCTTGATTCACAATCATTTCAGCTATTTCATCATCAGTCATCAAGTAAACAACTGGAGCATCATCATCGATGTTAAGAACTTCGATATCCACTTCCTCCATGTTACTGAGAAACTCTGAAGGTATACTGTTTTGTATATGTAAGATCTAACATCATCATCATCATCATCATCATCATCATCATCATCATCATCATCATCATCATCATCATCATCATCATCATCATCATCATCATCATCATCATCATCATCATCATCATCATCATCATCATCATCATCATCATCATCATCATCATCATCATCATCATCATCATCATCATCATCATCATCATCATCATCATCATCATCATCATCATCATCATCATCATCATCATCATCATCATCATCATCATCATCATCATCATCATCATCATCATCATCATCATCATCATCATCATCATCATCATCATCGCCACTACTACTACTCAACATAGTCGCAGGTCAGAGGTTGTGCCAGGCATGTGCAAGCGTGTCTTTAGTTGCATGATTCCATGTATTGGCAGCTGCATATATGGCATCCTTCAGAGTAAACCTCTTCTTGAAGCCATCCACACCCACACCTCTGTTCACTGCTGTCAGCATGCTGTTCACTGCTGCCAGCATGCTGTTCACTGTTGCCAGCATACCTGGAGAGGGTTTCAGGGGTCAATGCCCCCGTGGCTCGGTCTGAGACCAGGCCTCATGGTGCATCAGGGTCAAATCAACCAGGCTTTTACTGCTGCCTGCACATAAACTGACATACGAACCACAGCCCGGCTGATCAAGTACTGACTTTAGGTGCCTGTCCAGTGCCTTCTTGAAGACAGACAAGAGGTCTGTTGGTAATCCCCCTTATGTATGCTGGGTGGCAGTTGAAAGTCTTTGGCTCCTGACACTTATTGTGTTGTCTCTTAGTGTACTTGTGGCACCCCTACTTTTCATTGGGGGAATGTTGCATCTCCTGCCAAGTGTTTTGCTTTTGTAGGGAGTGATTTTCGTTTGCAAGTTTGGTACTAATCCCTCTAGAATTTTCCAAGTGTATACAGGTCTCCCTCAACATTCGCCTTTTCCACTTTTGTGGGCTTCGAACATTCGCGAATTCCCAGCTGCCCAATCATATTTAAAATATGTCATTACATATGTAAGGAATTGTGGCGATGGCAGAGTTTGGAGACAGGACAAGATAGTCCTTCAATATGACACTAATATCAACTCTATGGCTTATTTATCTATCTCAATTCATCTAATATGGCATAATAAACAATATTAATAACATAGAAACATGACATATACTCGAGAATGAATAAAATACGTCATTAAATATGTCATGGGTGTCGTTGTGTTGGTGTTGTTGGGTGTACATGCATAAAGGCCACTGAGATATAAGCCATACATAGTGGTGGTGGAGGTGGTAGAGACTAGAGATGGCGGTGTTGTCAGTCGCCCTATATAACTCCAACAACATTGGAGGAGTTAGGTCTGTGCAGTCCTTTTTCTATCGAGTAATCACTTAACTTACTTTCTACACTGTTAATGCTACACTTTATTGTTGGCTGGTGCTATAGCCTTTATCGACTCATGCTACTTTAGTATCATACACATCATAGAATCACTGAATCAGTGAAGAAGGCACATTCTCCCCTCTCTTCCTCCTCCACTTTGGTACTCTGCTACGAGTTCTTTCTTGAATTCTATAGTCTTTCTCACCTTCTTTACCAAAGGGCTGGCACTAGTACAATATTTTATGATGTTTTCATGTGTTTTATGATTGTTCGTGGTTCAATAGGTTAAGGAAGCAGTATTGTTAGGCTACCTGGAGTCTACCTGGAGGGTATTCCGGGGATCAGCATCCCTGCAGCCCGGTCCATGACCAGGCTAAGTAAATGCAGTTGTATTTTTCTTGCAGTTATATTTTCCTACAATATATTTGGGCACCAAACATTCACGATTTTTCAACATTCGTGAGGTTCTTGATCCCCTAACCCTCGCGTATTTGAAGGGAGACCTGTATTATCATGTGTATTTCATGCTTGCATTCCAGGAAATACAAATCAAGGGACTTCAACCATTCCCAGTAATTTAGGTGCTTTATTGTATTTATGTGTGCCATGAAAGTTCTCTGTACATTCTCCAGGTCAGCAGTTTTGCCTGCCTTGAAGGGGGCAGTTAGTGTACATCAATATTCCAGCCTAGAGAGAACAAGTGATTTGAAAAGAATCATCATGGGCTTCGTGTCCCTAGTTTTGAAGATTCTCATTATCCATCCTATCTTTTTCTAGTAGATAAGGTAGATACATTGTTGTGGTCTTTGAAGGTGAGATCCTCTGACATTATTACTCTCAGGTCCTTCACATTAGTTTGTTGTTCTATGTGTGGTTAGAATTTGTTTTATACCCTGATAAAGTTTTAATTTCCTCAAGTTTTCCATATCTGAGTAGTTGAAATTTCTCTTCATTGAACTTCATATTTAAAGATTTGGCTGATGTCCATTTGGAGTCTTGCAGTGTCTTCGATGGAGAACACTGTCATGGCAGTGTGAGTGTCCTCCGCAAAGGAAGACACGGAGCTATGGCTTACATCTGTCTATGTCAGATATGAGGATGAGGAACAGGATAAGAGTGAGTACTGTACCTTGTGGAAAAGAGCTTTTCACTGTAGCCGCCTCAGACTTTACTCTGTTTACTACTTCTCTGTGTGTTCTGTTTGTTAGGAAGTTTTAGATTTATCTATCAACTTTTTCTGTTATTCCTTTATCATGCATTTTGTGTGCATTACACTTTGGTCACACTTGTCGATGGCTTTTGCAAAGTCTGTGTATACTTCATCTGCATTTTGTTTATTCTCTAAAGCATCGAAGACCTTGTCATAGTGGTCCAGTAGCTGGGACAGGCAGGAGTGACCTTCTCTAAACCTGTGTTGCCCTGGGTTGTGTAACTGATGGGTATTTAGGTGGTTGGCGATCTTGGTTCTTAGATCCCTTTCAAAGATTTTTATGGTATGGAATGTTAGCCCTGTTGGTCTGTAGTTCTTTGCTATTATTCGACTGCCACCTTTCTGGAGTTGGGCTATTTCTGTTGTTTTTAGCGACTGTGGGACAACTCCGTGTCCATTAGGGTTATAACTTTTTTACAGCATAATACAGTGGACCCCCGCATAACTATCACCTCCGAATGCGACCAATTATGTAAGTGTATTTATTTAAGTGCGTTTGTACGTGTATGTTTGGGGGTCTGAAATGGACTAATCTACTTCACAGTATTCCTTATGGGAACAAATTCGGTCAGTACTGGCACCTGAACATACTTCTGGAGTGAAAAAATATTGTTAACCGGGGGTCCACTGTATTCCTGTACTTTAATCATATGAGCTTTTGCCTAAAAGCAAAGAAATGACCTTTCATTTCAATATCTTTTTAGAAAATGTCGCCCCTAGATGAAAAAAATGAGAAACAAAACCAAATAACTTGATTGCATATTACATGTAATATTGATAACTAAAACAGCTTACAGCATCATTGTTATCATGTTTGTACATATATTACTACTTATTGCTTAGAATAAACTGAAGCTGCAGTTTGTTTTTGTTAGTGCAGGCAGCATACAGTTCCTGCATAACTTTGATTGCACGTTCAGCACACTGATTACTTCTTGGTATATTGAGTGCACACGGCTCCTGCTTCCAGTGATTTTTCAATGAGTTCAGTGCTTTTTTGTAAGGTTTCAGTATTTCTGACAAATTCTTGAAGTCATTTTCAATTTTCATTGCACATCTGATCAGTGAACTGATAATCTGCCCAGATGTATGAAATGAATCTGCATATCTACTCCAAAGTCTTCCATCTTGTAGGTATAAGAATGAATGCAAGAATAGCGTGAATGGCTCTTGAATTCCACCTCACATTGCTGATGTTTGGAATTTTCTGAAAGTTAATCAAACGAAAGTGCCCTTTGTCTTCAAAGAATCTAAACATTTGTGTTAGATGGCACAAAAACTTCATATCATTTCTCCATCCTGATTTATGGAGGATCTCTTAAGAACATAAGAAAGAAGGAGCACTGCAACAGGCCTACTGACCCATGCAGAGCAGGTCCATGTCCTCCCCCGGATTAAACCAATGACCCCCCCCCCCCAGATTAGCCCAATGAACCACCCAGTCTGGTCATCTCCACTCAAGGATGGAGCACTGCACCAGACCCAGCAGCACAAGCTAGTCAGGTCCAACTCTAACCCACCCGCACCCACTCATTTATTTATCTAACCTATTTTTAAAACTACACAACGTTTTAGCCTGAATAACTGTACTCGGGAGTTTGTTCCACTCATCCACAACTCTATTACCAAATCAATGCTTTCCTATATCCTTTCTGAATCTCAATTTTTCCAACTTGATACCATTGCTGTGAGTCCTGTCTTGGCTGGAAATTTTCAGCACGCTATTTACATCCCCTTTATTTATTCCTGTTTTTCATTTATACATCTCGATCATATCCCCCCTAATTCTACGCCTTTCGAGAGAGTGCAGATTCAGGGCCTCAGTCTATCCTCATAGGGAAGATTTCTGATACATGGGATCATCTTTGTCATCCTCCTCTGTATGTTTTCCAGAGCATTTATATCCATTCTGTAATACGGTGACCAGAACTGAGCAGCATAGTTTAAATGAGGCCTAACCAAGGATATATAGAGTTGAAGAACAACCTGAGGACTTCTATTATTTATACTTCTAGATATGAAGCCAAGAATTCTGTTAGCTTTATTGCAAACACTAATGCACTGTTGTCTTGGTTTTAGATTACTGCTAACCAGAAATCCTAAATCCTTTTCGCAGTCAGTAGTATTAAGATCTACATTATTTAGTTTATATGTGGCATTGTTATTTAACTGTCCAACATTTAGAACTTTGCATTTGTCAATATTAAACTGCATCTGCCACTTCTCCAACCATTGCATCAGTCTATTCAAATCATCCTGGAGTGCTCTAGTGTCCTCATTAGAATGAATTGGACAGCCTATTTTGGTGTCATCAGCAAATTTGCTTATGTCGCTATTTATTCCCTCATCTATGTCGTTTATGTAAATTGTTCCATTAACAAACTGTGCCTTTAGTTCCTCATAATTCTTCACCAGTTAGGATACAAATGGATACTCAGTGTTTGGAGAACTGGTTTTAGCACCAAGATTTTCATCCATTACCAAATAGAGAATCCTGTCCAGAACGTTATGCTGACAACTGATAAATTGTGGTCTGCTAATCCCCTTTGAAAACATTCGTTGGAGTTTGACAACAGCTCCACTCTTTTTCCCAGTGTTAACCTTGGTTGTTTCAGCAATGATCATCTTTATTGCATTTCATAAGTTGTATTCATCAATAACTTTTGCCATTTCTTCAGCAATAGTTTCAGCCTTGCCATCTTTCAAATGTGGTGCATCCAGTTGTATTTCAGTTCTTTAATTTTTGAGTACTAATACCTGATACCCTCTCCATAGAATGCTGAAGGCACATGACAGGGTTCTTGCAGTTCTTGATGAACAGGGAGTTCCATGAGTCTGGCCCTGGGGCAGAGTGCATGGGCATTACATTAATTGCCTTTTCGAAGTCTTGTGGTGTTAGGATAATATCAGAGATTTTTTAAATGACCAAATTTTGAGTCTTGGTCATAAAAAATTAATTTAGATTGTCTACCCTTAGTCTGGTTAATGGCTCATTGAACACCGAGTTGTATTGGGACTTGAATATCTCGCTCATTTCTTTGCTTTCATCTGATAGGTCCAATCTTATCTAGGCAGGGGTCTCAGTATTGGATGTTGCTTTTGCCTTAGAGTTGGCATAAGAGATGAAGTATTTTGGGGTTCTTTTAATTTCATTGTTTTCTTTAAGTTCTTCCTGAGATTGTTGTCTCCTGCAAGATTCCTTAAGCTTAAGTTCAATATTTGCTATTTCTCTGACCAGTGCCCCCCTTTAGTGTTTCACATATATTGGCCTCTCTCAGGAGCTCTGTGATTCTTAACCTTCGCCTGTATAGGGAGCGTTCTCTCTTTCTAGTTTACATCTTCTCTTTCTTTTTATTAATGAAATGTGCCTTGAGCAGACCTCAAGTGCCAGAAAGTTGATGCTGTTCACTGCTGCCAGCATGCTGTTCACTGCTACCAGAATGCAGTTCACTGTTGCCAGCATGCTGTTCACTGCTGCCAGCATGCTGGTCACTACTGCCAGAATGGTTCACTGCTGCCAGCATGCTGTTCACTGATGCCATCATGTTGTTCATTTTTGCCAGCATGCTGTTCACTGCTGCCACCGTGCTGTTCCCTGCTGCCAGCATGCTGTTCATTGCTGCCAGAATGCTGTTCACTGCTGCCAGCATGCTGTTCACTGCTGCCAGCATGCTGTTCACTGCTGCCAGCATGCTGTTCACTGCTGCCAGCATGCTGTTCACTGCTGCCAGAATGCTGTTCACCGCTGCCAGCACACTGTTCACTGCTGCCAGCACGCTGTTCACTGCTGCCAGCATGCTGTTCACTGCTGCCAGCATGCTGTTCACTGCTGCCAGCATGCTGTTCACTGCTGCCTGCATGCTGTTCACTGCTGCCAGCATGCTGTTCACTGCTGCCAGCATGCTGTTCACTGCTGCCAGCATGCTGTTCACTGCTGCCAGCATGCTGTTCACTGCTGCCAGCATGCTGTTCACTGCTGCCAGCATGCTGTTCACTGCTGCCAGCATGCTGTTCACTGCTGCCAGCATGCTGTTCACTGCTGCCAGCATGCTGTTCACTGCTGCCAGCATGCTGTTCACTGCTGCCAGCATGCTGTTCACTGCTGCCAGCATGCTGTTTACTGCTGCCAGCATGCTGTTCACTGCTGCCAGCATGCTGTTCACTGCTGCCACCATGGTGTTCACTGCTGCCAGCATTCTGTTCACTGCTGCCAGAATGCTGTTCACTGTTGCCAGAATGCTGTTCACTGCTGCCAGCATGCTGTTCACTGCTGCCAACATGCTGTTCACTGCTGCCAGCATGCTGTTCACTGCTGCCAGAATGCTGTTCACTGCTGCCAGCACACTGTTCACTGCTGCCAGCACGCTGTTCACTGCTGCCAGCATGCTGTTCACTGCTGCCAGCATGCTGTTCACTGCTGCCAGCATGCTGTTCACTGCTGCCAGCACGCTGTTCACTGCTGCCAGCATGCTGTTCACTGCTGCCAGCACGCTGTTCACTGCTGCCAGCATGCTGTTCACTGCTGCCAGCATGCTGTTCACTGCTGCCAGCATGCTGTTCACTGCTGCCAGCATGCTGTTCACTGCTGCCAGCATGCTGTTCACTGCTGCCAGCATGCTGTTCACTGCTGCCAGCATGCTGTTCACTGCTGCCAGCATGCTGTTCACTGCTGCCAGCATGCTGTTCACTGCTGCCAGCATGCTGTTCACTGCTGCCAGCATGCTGTTCACTGCTGCCAGCATGCTGTTCACTGCTGCCAGCATGCTGTTCACTGCTGCCAGCATGCTGTTTACTGCTGCCAGCATGCTGTTCACTGCTGCCAGCATGCTGTTCACTGCTGCCACCATGGTGTTCACTGCTGCCGGCATGCTGTTCACTGCTGCCAGCATTCTGTTCACTGCTGCCA